GTCCTCAAACCCGGCGCCTCGGCCGCGGGCAGATGAGCCGCGGGGCCCCTGCCCGTCGCCCCGCCTCGACGCCTGCAAGCCGTTCTTCTTCGGTTCCGTCTCACGGCGTTTTAATTTATTGTCACTGTCACACGCATAGATCCACGAGGCACCCAGGCCTGGGAGCATCTACATGAGGTCCCAGATGTCCAACGAGCTTGGGCGGTCCAGCGTCCACGCGCAGACCCAAACTGATCCTAAAGCCCCCGGTTCCGCTGTGGGGGCTTTGGCAGCTATGGAAGAACCAAAATTACGTGAAGAACATCACGGAGAGACAGTGCAGTGTAGCTTTAGTTTAAAAAAAAAAAAAAAAATCCCCCCACTGCATGAAGGATCTGGATGTCATCCAAATTTTATATCAAGAAACTGGACACGTTAAGAGCAATTACAAACTGGAATATCGCCTTAAAAATCAAACTGCACGGAGCAAGCTGAAACGGAGACAAGATTATATCTTTTAATTGATCTAAAGAGTTGTAAATAAATTGTTCTTGACATATCTAGACAGGGGTTAAAAGGTTTCTTTGAAATATTCAGAACTTCGCCCATGACATGTTTCTATGGCTCGCCCGTGGCATCCATCACTGGTATTAGCAGCAACGTTCCCCGCGTACTGCAAGATGAGTTAGAAATCTAGTGAATCCATTGGTATAATGCCATTTTTACTGCCATTTCTGTGGTCAAATCATGTTTCTGTACACTTCAGTGGTAGAATAAAAGGTTTTAAAAAATTGTATCCTAGGGAACAGTGCGTAAGTCAGAATTTTGCAGTTTAGCTCATAGATCTTAATTGGTTTTCACCTAAAGTATGAATTTTATAATTGAAAGACCACAATTTGTTTAATCAAGATTGGCAACGCTGCAATTCCTTTCTGAAAAGGCTTTCCTATTGTCTCGGGCTAGCAGAGATAGTAGCTTCTTTGACAGCAATGTTATATTTCATTTATTGTCCTTCTTTAAACCTTCTTTCCGTTCGTTTTCACTTTGATAGAGCAGAGGCAAAGTATTTCTCCTATATTTCTCAGATTATAATGAATCCCTGATATTAAAAAAATCATTATGACAAATTTATTTTCATTAAAGAACATGACTCTTTCAGCATTCTGTTCTGCTTATCTTTCTTATTCTTTCTCCTCTTATTTCCATTCGGTTCGCTTTTTTGTATGGTAGTCTTTGCCAAATTTGTATTTCTTTAGAAACCTGTAGATGTTTCTGTTTATCTTCATTGATCTATGATTAATTCCTTAGTAAAAGTCTAAGGCTTGCCTTTCTTCCCTACTATTTTAATATTCTTTGAAAAAATGTTACCTTCAATTAATTATCCATTTGTTGATGAAAGTACCTCCAAATTTATAGAAAAATTTTATAAGAATTTATTTGAACCAGATTTTTGAGGACATGCCTGGAAGCAAGATCTCAACAGACTGAGAAAATGCTCTGGAGAATGGCAGTTTCGCAGTTCATTTTATTCATTTAGAATCAAAGGAGAAACAGGAATTTATGATCAGACCATCGTGTGCGGTTACTTTCGGTCACTGCACTTGTCAGGCCTGCATCTAGCCCTCTGAGCTTGTCAGGTTTATTACATAGCCCTTTTTTTGTTCACACGTTGGTACTTATTTGTAGCTACACGTATTAAAAGGCAAATGTCTCTGAGGGCAGTTTCTCTTTAATATGGTCTGAATGAATGAGGCTTCATCCTGCCCGTATTCTGCCCCTTACAGAAGTTCAAATGCAAATAAGCCTCACCTGCCTGCGCTTGTAGTCAAATAAGGAAAACAGGGAAATCAGGTCCATCATACAAGGTCACACATAAAAGCCTTCCTGCGTTGAACTGTCTTCATTTGCTGTACCCTGAGCACTAGCCGTTTAATTTTCATCAGGCGTAGGAGTAGTTGAGTTGTTCGACAAGAAGAAAATATGGTTGAAAGCCTCAAGTGAAGAGTCTTGCAGCTTGTAAAAGCAATTTCCAAAAATGGAACCCATTCATCAAAAACAAAAGCACAAACACATGTAGCAGTTTACAATACATTTGGTTTAATCTCAATTAGTCTTTCCCCCCTGGACTAGAAATCCAGTATAGTTTGCCATTAATTTATTGAATCTGGTTTTGGACAATGTTTCTGTAGTGTAGCTGCACGTCCCGGTACTATATCCTCTGACCTTTATTTTCCATGTGTTACAAAAGGATTAAAAAATTGAGATTACGCTTGCATAAATTCTAATTTGCACAGTTCACAGCTACTACTTGTGCATAATTGCTTTATGCGGCTGTAATCCATAACCTGTGAAGACAGCACATCATCTAAATCCCATTCCAAATAATATTTCTGTGTAGTGTTAGCTGTGAATTTACCCTGTACAGCTGTATCTCTATAAATATAATTCCATGTATTAATAGTCACAGAAAGACTGTAAGTGAGCAACTATTTTTATGAAACGCACCACTATGGATAAATTAACTTTTACAGAAATCTTGTTTACTGTATGATATTCTAAAACACTGTCAAATAAAATATATATCCAAAAATCTTTTCTTTTTCCAACTATATAGGCTGTGTGTTAATTTGAGTAAATAATTACTAGAGTTCATAATTTTTTAAAACTGCAGTTTTTGTAGATTTTTTTTTTTTTTAAAGTTTAAGATTAATGCCCCAACTAGGACTTCTTTGAAACTTGAATCTAATTGCAGAGGAATTACAAGGGAAAAGACTGTTGACTTTTTAGCCCAAGTAAACTGGGTTTTCTCATAGATAATCTGGTTGGTATTTTCCTGTCAGCTAACTACATCACTTAGGGATTGGCAGTATGTTTCTGTTGCTTGCTACATTTATTGATATCAAGTCTTTTTCAAAAAGGATTAACGGTATCAATCAACAATAAATTCCATCGCATTTTTTCTTTTTAATTCTAAAAATTTTTTCATGAAAAAATTCCAAGGAGTTTATGCAGAAACCTAAACTAAATTTACCAAACAGCAGTGTAAAGATCCAAACTGAATGGCCTGACATACCTTTTGCCATGAATTACAATATGTGCATTAGGGTGAAGGAGAGTTCTGTGTGGTAATAGGATGACAACCCTGCCGTCAAGATTACAATCCATAGAAACAGCCTCAACTCTTGTCTTGTCAAGATTTTCCACTGATGTCAACAGGAGGCCTAAGATTCCTAACCTACCATTTTTTACTCCAACATAATTTTTTAAAAAATAATCTATGTATCACTTTTCAAGCACAAAAAGTTAATATATTTATAATATATATGTCATATGTCATTCTTTATGAACCAATCTGCAAATGACCAAGTACAAGCTGAAAAAGCAAGATTTATAAAACAATGTAGTTAACAAAATGGAGTGTAACTATTAGTAATGTACAGCTAATTTCTATTTTTTTAAAAAAGTCATTAGGGCATCAAAAAGATTAGAAATCAGACGAAAAGGATGAGGAGAAGAACAGAGCAGGACTAGGGTGAAGGCACCTGGGGCCCGTGGCCTGGACAAGGGCCTTCCCATAAATCAAAGGTCTCCAGGGTGAGATAGGTAAATATGAAACAGTGAAGAGAGCTAAGTAGGAACTGGGCCAATGGACCCTCCTCTAAAGCTGTCATTTTGTCATGTCCAAGTCCACTGTGGAACGGTCTTTCAGTTTCTCAAAAGAAGCAAAAAAAAAAAATCAGTTCTTTATTTGAAATTTTACGGTTTTTAAAGCATGACAAGTTTAATTCACATTTTTAGGAAACACTGAAAAAAAAGACAAAACACTACCACAACAAACCATCTGCAGACCAAGTCTGGCCCACGGCTCAGCAATTTGCAGCCTCTGTGTTGGAACAACAGCCAGGCTTTCAGCAAAGAAACTCACTTTCATCAGGTTCTGGTTCACCTTCCAGGCAGTGGATCATACAGACCCTAGCGATCATAAAACATGTGGCTCTTGAGGTTCATACATTTGCCTGGAATAGCTTCAAATGCATATCTAAGCATGAGACACTCTGCTAGAAACGTGATCACTGTTCCTGCAGTAGAGGTGGATTTGCTGTGAAACTGAAGAAACTGAAGCCTGCATGAGCCCTAAAGCTTATTCAAAATTTTACATTCTCTTTCTTAATGAGTCTCCTCCAAACTGTATAAACTTGGAGCTCCCCAAAGGTGAATATGCCCCTGCCCTATTGATACTACAGTTTTTCAGGCCAAACTCACAGCAAAATCAAATAACCTAATTTCTGAAGAATTTGAGCTAAACAGAGATTTCTTTTTCAGACAACTAGAATGCAAGACAGGATGCCTGTAAAATTATAAGAGTGTTTTCCAAGTCTTAAAATAGTAAGGGTATTATGCCTAATGATAAGTTCTACATTGTGTATAGTTCATTTAAGGCACCAATTAAATATGTAGAGATTATGATTATGACTATTGGTGGTCATAATAGCTGTAAGTTGTAAACATTTGGATATAAACAATGGAGCAACATCCTGTTATTAAGCCAACTCCTTTGCTGGGCATTTGGTGGCATATCACCCAGGCAGCTCAGTGATCTGGCATGCCATAAAAACCTAAGTTTGATGAGATCTTTCCTTGTGATGAAACTTGCCTCTTGGAGAGTGATTTCACCTAGAAAAAGCTGGGAATCTTGTGAAGCAACAAAGTGACCTTGACTTTCTTAAGTGGAAGATAAATTTTCTAGAATCCTAACAAGGTGTGTCCATGAGAAAGGAAATAAAACCTCCTCTGTGATTTCATTCCAAGTCAGTTGCCTTCACACTGAGGAACACACATTTCTGGGATACATAGAGACTTAAATGGGATAGCTTAAATGGAACCTATTTCCAGAACTTCAACTTCCATTTTTAAGCATTTCAAACCTGTAGACTGCCAATTCCCTGTTCCCACCTACCCTCTACAAGGACCCTTTACGTTGGAGAAGAAAGACGGACCTATCACTTGTCTTGCATTTCCTCTGGTACATCACAAGGTATAAAAAATTGTAGGGAGCTAAATGAAGAGACAATTGGAGAATGCAGCCCTCCTGGGGGAGAATCAAGAGAACAAAGTAGAGAGTATCAGTAAGAAATATCTAGGTGGGCAATGCCTGCCTTCATTCAGGAGCCCTGGTAGGGTTCCCATCTATCTAAGAATTAGCATCCATATTTATTTCAATTTTAAAATAAAGTCAGACTTTTTCTAATTGAATATGTGATTTGGTTATTTGTCTGGCTTGACCACAAGGACTGACTTTGCCAGTTAAATTATATGGCAGGTATTTGTCATAAATTAAATGAGTTAAATCTGCAACTACAAAGTTTAAATAAATGCATATAAAGCACACATACAAGAGAAAACATATTCTTTGAAATATTTAAATTTGTGATAAATATG